AATAATGTTGTTTAGTTTTAAACTAAATTGTAGTATTGATAGCTAAAAGAAAACATACCGATATCCCTTAACCGGCTCTGTCAGAATGACTAAAAGTACACCTCAGGCCGGTTTTAGCTTGTCTCACAACTCATAAAATCAGTGTTTAGAGTTGAACGAGTGGAAATCAATGATATATTATAGAATAACACTTGAAAAACGATAAAAACATAAAACGTACCAAAAATTGACCACTTCAAGTGGTGCGATAATAGTTGTGCGATAGTTGAACGATAATAGAAAGACTCCTGAAGCCGAAAATCTCTAGTTGACACTTTGAACTACCATATCATCCAAATAATTGTGTTTTTATGAGGTATGATTTGTTTAAAAGTTTGTCAAAGTTTCTTGAATCATGTTAAAAATTTATATTTCATAAACATAATCGTTTTACATTTTTCCCAGATTTTTGAAAAATCCATCCGAAAATTTTCCAAAAAAGGAATTTTTTCGTTAAAAATTGTTCGAATTTATTTCAAGATGAAAACACTTTTGCATCATTTTTCTCGGGTGATTAGCTACACTTTACAAAAAAAAGATTGATGTTTTAGCCCTATTTTGAAGAAAGTTATAGTCCAGAAACCAAAAGTTCATATCTTTTTGTCCGGTACTGTATTTAAGCCACCCTTTTATTTAGAAAAAGTGAGAAACGAAGCGACGAACATTTGAAAAAAATAGATTAAATCGCGCCGAAGGCGCACCAGTTTTCTAAAAATAAAAGAGGCATTCTTGAAGGGATTATAGTCTCTTTGGATCAAAAATACATCTTTTCGGCCAAGATACAAAAAATGTCTTCGTGGCGAGCCAGAAAACATTTATTTTTGTGTTCCGTAAAATCGTAAATTTGGAAAGTTTGTTTCTGCTCGGGAGATCCCCCGGAGCAGCATCTGGAGTGTGATGAGTTGTTGTGTTGAGGCCCCGGATAATAACAATCATAAAAGCGTGCCACCAGTGGAAGAAATGAAAGTAAGCAGTCTTATTTTTGTCTCCACCACAGTTGGAGACACTGAAGCCCCAACCCCTCCCGAAGACACCCATCCTCTTTTCTGTTTCTTCGCATTGTTCCAGCTCGTATGTTTGTGGTCCCCCTTCCTCATTAAAATTTGATCACATACGCCGAAAAAGCACGACTCAGACAAAGAACCAAGTCATGTGTAGTTGCATATCTTTGTCAAGAAAAACTGAAAAAGAAACCGTTGTCTGTTGATGGACAGGAATGACATATCCAAACATGGTTTCAGAGAAAATAAGTTGTCTAGATCATCATATGTATAGAGCTACTATCAAGATATTCTGGTTTGAAGTTCTGGCTTACAGAAAAAAAAACATAGGGAACATCTAAACAAATTAGTTTTTGAAGTCAGAAAGGATGCAGGAAGCACAGAGGCGGAGTCAAAAACACTGGATTGGTTTTGAAAACATTTTCCTTTCGAAACGAGTTCATTTAATGCGGTTTTTAAAAAAACTTACTTTTAGGCCCTTCAGAAAATCAGAATTTTAGAAATAGACAGTTTGGAAATTCAGAAACTCAACTACCGTGAAATCTTTATTAGGCCGCTTTAATAAAAAAGTCCCTTTAATAGAAGGGCCCTCCGAGAAAGTCTTGGAAAAATAGGATGGCCCCATTAAGTGCGTATTTTCTCAATTTAACATTTCCGTAAGTTTTGAATGAAAAATATCAGGAAATTTTACAATTTTGCAGAAATTCGTGGTATTTTTAGCTCAAAAAACTTGCTCAATTTCGGTGAAATCGAAAGAGTTTCATAAATTTTTAACTCTAATTGAAGGGCCCCTGTGATAGAAGGGCCATCTGGAGGTATCTATACAGGTTTTACGGTATTCCAAACTTTCGAATTCGTAGGTTCCATTTCTGAATTTGGAGATTTTCAAAATCGCTAGATTTGTAAGTCTTATATTTTTCCTCTTTTTCTTCTGAAAATTGGATGTTGAGAGAATCTCTAACTCCTAAAACTGAACGGATTTCTAAAATTTTCAACCTCTCGATTTCGGAAATTCTGATTTTCACAAATTTTTGAGTTTCTAAATTTCCGAATTTCCAAAGCTTAAAATTTTAAAACTTTTCAATTTTTTAAATTTTTCCGTTTTTGAATTTTCAAAACCATCAATTCAGAGGTTCAAACTCACTGATAGTAAGATCGTATTCGTTTGCAATTTTAAAACTATTTAAATTTTTTTTCATAGATTGCAATGAGTTCTGTTTAATGCTAACCCTTTTATGAATTCACCTGTTTTGAGTAGAAACTACAATTTGAAAATAAAATGTGTCATAACCACAAAGAACACACACAAGAATTCAACCTAACACTTCCTGCTTTTTCAATTCAAAAAAAAGAGAAAAAAGTGTAAGCAGTCATATTCGGAATGATTCTAGATTCCAGAATTCCCAAAATGTCTTGGCAAAAAACAACTGAATTCAATTTACGCAGTACTGGTAGCCCCGAGTGACACACAAAAGCGAACACCTCTCTCTCAAATAAAACATGTAAAGCGTCAGGCGAAGGACTGCAAAAATAGCTTGGATCCTACAAGTGGGATGAGAGATCCTCCAGAGCAATAGAAGAAGGTCAAAAGAGAGCTTATCGTTCACGGGTAATTCGATATGTTTTGTCACATACTCTAGGATTGCAGGACTAGGGAGAAATGGAGAGTGTGGAGGAGGAAGAAGAAGAGCAAAAAAGAGAAATAAGAAGTATTATGTAGAAGAAGGTGAAATGGATCAAGAGAAGAACCCGAAGAAGACCCCGGGCTTAATGTACGTAATTATAGGAGACGGAGTAGAAGAAAAGGAGAAGAAAGAAGAGTCACTTTTCTTGTCAGGCAATTAGCCAGTTCACTAGTTAGACCTCACCTCGAAATGACTATTCCATTATTTTGGCACGTCTACATCTACGTCTACATTCTCTTCTCTGATCTTTCCATAGATCCTTATTTTGAGAATTTAGGATCGTACTATTAACTTTCGCATGAATTTTAGACTCACCTCGGCATGTTATCACTTGTTTCAGAAAGTAAAGTGATTCTTCAAAAAGTGTTTGAAATTTTTTTGGGAATTCAATTTCAATTTCAGCTGTTATGAATTTTTCATGGGATTAAAATACGTTTACTAATTGAAGTCAGCGCACAGACATTTGCTGATCATGATGTATTTGTAATGAGCATATAAAACTAAAAAACAGCTCTTGACATGATATCAGGACGTAGATATAATACAAAGTATGGTCAGTTGGGACCATAACTTTTGAGCTTAACAATTCTAGAAATTCATTTACCGTAAAACCTGTAACAGAAGAGCTCCCACACTGTCAAGTTTGAGCTAATTTTTCTTGGCTCCTGTGCAAGATAATGAAAATATGTCTACTGAAAAAAAAAACACTTCCGATCTGATACTATAAATAGTTTGTCACCAAGGCTGTGCAAAATGGCGGCCAGCCGCGGCCGGCCTCGGCCGCGGCTCGTTTTTTGAGGCCGCGGCCAGCCCCGGCTTTTATGTGAAAGCCGTAAAAAGCCGCGGCTAGCCGAGGCCGACCGCGTCTAGCCTTATAAAAACGCGTGAAGTGAAAATCTATTAGTTTTTGAAGAATTTCGTTTTTTTTTGTCCCACTTTTCAAAAAATCTACGTTTCTCATGAAACAATTATTTTAAAAAGCCGTGAAAAGCCGCACGGCTAGCCTGGGCCTGCCGCGGTTTCATCAAATGTTTTTTCGGAAGCCGCGGCCGGCCGTGGCACAGCGTTTATTGTTTGTCACCATTTTTGACCATCTTTTCATATCGTTGAGAGGGACCGAGAAAAAAAGGCTTAAAGTCAACAAACTAGGGACCTCTTCTATTACAGGTTTTACGGTATACTCATTTTTCCTAGAATAAAAAACTGGAATCCAAAAAAACCAAAGCACAAAAATGTTTTCAGTTTGTAAGATATGTATCTGTGGTCCGGGGGTCATCATCCGAAAATACGATTTGGGTGGCCGCGTTGGAGTGTGAAAAATAAGAAAAAAGAGAAATAGAGAGATTGAGTAGTAAACGGAACAAACAATCATAGGCAAGAATTTGTATAAAAAGTGAGAAGGTTAGTTGAGTCGAAAAAATGGGAATTCGAGATCCCCGATAAGATGTAAAATTAGACGGGCAAGCACCGGAGCAGGCCTAATGAGAAAAGGATTCTTTTTGAGTTTTACTTCCGGAAAATGAAAAAAAAGTAGAAGATGTGTGGACACTTGGATGTGCAAATAGATTCATATTCATGAACCTGAATTAGAATGAATCGGGGCTCTTCTTAAGAACCCCTTCTTGCATCGCCATCTTCTTCC